TGAGGGAATGAAGGTCTCTCACACACACGTGTATAAGAACATAAATGAAGCTCTGTGAGCAGTGGTCAAGATGTTAAAAGTGGCTAGAGATTTGGGGATCTGAATTTCAGGAGATGCTGTGCTTTGAAAGTTAGGCCTTTCAAAGCATTTCAAGTTGGGCACCTATAAATGGAAGAATCCAAAATCACTAGTCACTTTGAAAATTGGGCCATCCTTGCCATACAGTGAAACCCTTCCTCCACTCTCCTTAAGACGAGATGAGATTGGCTAAGGCAGTACGGTGACCAAAGGGCTTCTAAAGGCATACATGCTGTTACGAGCAAAAGGAAAGATCCATGGAGTTGTGTGGAGAATCTGGGGCTCTTCTAAAGAGTCCTGGCTCTTTGGGCGTGTCCTCTGATCCCTCAGATTTCACCTCAGCTCTCAATTCCAAGACTAACAGAGTCCTTTGCTTGGCTGGGGGGAGGGAGAAATAACACAAAAGGCCTGATTCAGCAAATCAGTTAAGCACATGCTTGCATCCATCCCTGTTCAGCAAAGCACTTGAGCATGTTCTTAAGTCTCAATGGGACTTCAGACTGTAAGTGTCAAAGTGAGGTACATAGCTTCACCCTGAAGACAGACAGTGACAATAGTAGCATGATAATGACTCTACTTGTAAACCAGGCACTCTCACAGACAAAGTACCCTGAAACTCCACAGGATGTCTATGATATCAGTAAGATTTTAAATGGTTAGTGACAGATCAACCTCAATAGGGATGGAGGTTTTCTTTGGATAAGCAGCCATGTGATAGGATACCTACTGCTCCAAACTGATGAAGTGTCCCTATTTCATCCTCTGAAGTGCAAGTCTCTCAAGTAACTGACGGGAAGGCTGTGGCCAAATCCATCACTGCAGCTTTAATGAAAAGTGAGTCCTGTCCTCCCATCCCGTTTTCTTTTTTAACCCAAATGTATAATATATATTTCCAATTTTATTGCAGAATACTACTGGGTAAGTTGGTTTGCAAACCCCAGATGTAATCTATAGTGCTCTTTGCATATTAATATTCACCTCTTCAAGACAAATGGAAGGGAAGAAACTTCTTTATTCATAAAACTGACAGTTCTAAATCTAGCAGCCACCAGGATAATGTGCACTAAAGCAGATAAGGATAAGTGTTAAATGGGGGAGGACAAGAGCTATAGCAATGAACATTGGAGGACCATGTGAACCTGCCAGTGAGACACACACACTTTTCTTTCCTTGCTCCTTTATCTGAATAAACACTGTTTGTATGTCTAGCACCTGATTCAATCCAGTGAGGACGTTGATCAGACCCTTAGCAAGCCCAGCAATTTATTTTTAAGTTGTCCTATTGTGTGTTGCCCTATTATATAATTAATAATAAGTGATGGTGTTTTATCAGAAAGCTGCGCCGCCCACTTTGAGGCATTTGAGATCCTGGACAAAATGATAAAGAATAATTTAAAATATACAAGGAAATATCATAATAACAAAACCTCCTGTAATCCAAAGAGTTTAATCTTTCTTAGCTGCTGTATAGCTCTCTTTGTCTAACATGTCCAGGCACTTTACAAAGGATAGTAAGTATCATTGTCCCTGTTTTACAGATAGGGGAATTGAGGCATAGAGATTTAACATGACTTGCCTGAAGTCAAAGCTGGGAATAGAGCTTAGGTTTCCTGACTCCTGGTGTTATGCTTTAGTAACTGGGCCACACTACTTCCCAATGAGAGATCTGTTACAAAAATAAGGAGGGAAGGTACAAAACATGGGTCCAAAATGTCATAACAGTGAACAGTCCTTTGAAATAAGATACAGTAGATATGTCGGTTAATGAGATGCTTTGTGTCATGGTGGGATTACTCACTGGGTTGAGTTAGTAGAAGTGCTCCATTGACTTGATGGCTTTTCGGTCATGAATAGCTGATGTCTCCCCCTAGGGCCTAATCACTTCTTTTACGGGCAGGGAGTAAACTACATACGTTAGACTGCTATGTATCAGAATGAGACCATGCTTACAAAGCTTCTCCTTGAAAATAAATGGAGGAATTTTTGTAGGCCATTCTGTTCCTGATAGATAAAGGTCTCATTCTGTGATTTAGAGAGGCAATTATTGTTTCTGCTGAGTGCACGAGGTTGGAGTGCACGGGACTGGGAGCCAGGGTTCATGTGTTAGGGTTCCTGTTCGCCCGGTCTTGTGGTACTAGGCAGTTATACTCTAAAAAGTGAGTTAGTAAAAATCAGCATGGTGGGGGAAGGGGAGCTCCACATTATCTCTAGGAGATTCCATTTCAAATCAGGAACTCAGGAAATGCCAGACCAGACCAGGCCAACAGTGCATATAGTCCAATATCTTGTCTGATATTGGCCAGTTCCAGATATTTCCAAGAAAGGTTTAACACCCCTCGCCCCCCATAATGGACATTTAAGCCATAACATGCCCATGGGGAAGTTTACTCCTAACCTCAGGCAGCTAGTTTTGTTGGATTAAGCCTTGAACCACAAACGTGTATATATCCCTTATATATTTTTATCCCAATGAATGCTGCTGAGGATATTTGCATTATTCAAAGAAAGGGCTAATCCTTTTTTGATTCCTACTTGGGTCCTTTTCTCAATATTGTAAGAACCTAAGAACATTATAACGGCCATACGGAGTCAGCCCAAAGGTCCATCAAGCCCAGTATCCTGTCCTCTGAGAGTGACCAATAGCAGGTGCCCCAAAGGGAATGAACAGACAGGTTATCATCAAGTGATCCATGCCCTGTCACCCAATCCCAGCTCTGGCAAACAGAGGCTAGGGGCACCATTTCTGCCACTATCTTGTGGCTTTGAGTTCCACTGGGTGATTACATGTTGTGTTACCAGCTTTAAATGTGTCACCTTTTAATTTCATTGTGTTCCCCCTTATTTTCCTATTATGAGAAAAGATGAACAAAAAGATACATGTGACCTTTTCTATACCACTCTTATTTTATATGCCTCTGCTATGTCCCTTCTTAGTTATCAGCTGTCTAAACTAAATAGTTCCAATCTTTAAAATCTCACCTGATGTGGTAATCTTTCTAGGCCCGTAATAATTGTCATTGTCCTCTCTGGACAGCTTCTTTTTCCGTTATATCCTTTTTGAGACGGGTTGCCTAGAACTTGACATGCTAGTTAAAGTGATGGTATAATATGGCCCATTGAGAAGCTATTTTCTCAGGATTTTCCAGTTGGCTGAAATTGAAAAGTAACTTTGTGCGAAAGCTTGGTCCGTTGAGATTTCCTCATTGATTTCTTCACTGTTAAAAGATTTAGGCACCACAGTTCAGACCAGGGGATTGTGAATTGCAGCACACACTAGTGTGCTGCACTGTAACTCTCCCTTGTGGCCATTGTGGGTGCAAACTAAAAGGTACCTACTTCGCATTAACATAGTCCTGTTTAAAGAGGACTAAATGAATGTGAACTAAGGACCATTGGTTCATGCCTGCAACATCCAGCACAGCCATTTGCACCCCCAGAGTCTGAACTGTGGGGCCATGTAGACAAGCCCTGTCAGACAGACTTCCAAACTTTTGGCTGCTTTATCCAAACTGGACTTGTTGAACTTCAGCTATCACCCCCCCAAAAGAACCCCGCACTACCCATTTCAGCATTTGTAACCTAAAAAGAATTTAAAATCAAAATCTCCTTTTTAATTATAAAGTAAACAAGTGCCAGAACTATTAACTAGAGCTGGGTGAACCAGTTCAGATGGTTTATGAACTTGTCCATCTGTTTGCACACAGCTCAAAATGAACTATCCTAAACTTTTGGGGTTTTAACCAGTTTGATCCTCCATTCATGCTGTGGTTTGCTCATCACTTGTATCAGAGATAAGGCTTATCTGAGACTATATGAGCCAGCCATTCTAGAAACCTGCCATAGTTTCTTTTACAGTCAAAGTCTGAAATAGTTACACAAATGAGATGGTGTCCCTGATGTTCTGCTCCCAATTTCTGTTTCCTATTTAAGCGATATAAATATTTCATGCTGAAACTTTCTTAGTTCATTTTTAATGTTATGAAAGCTGAATACAGATTAAAAGAATCAAGAGGATAACTTTTATTGTTAAATATTTAATGGAAATGCTTAATGTTTAAATACTTACGTTCTTCTGATTGTTAAACTATTTAAATAGGATGGAAACTGTTTACTGAAGGTGTCACAAATGATATCAGTTTTCAACCAGAATTTCAGAAAAACAAGTGTAACTAAATATCTTGGGCCTGATTCTCCACTACCTTAACCTTATGTCGTCATTTAGGCTGCAGTTCAGCAAAACACGTAAGCCTGTGTTTAAGTCCCATTGAAGTCAAAGGCCCAAGTCAAATATTGAAAAGTATTGTTCATCTTAAAGCCAATGGGTCTTAAGCACATACTTCAAATTAGGCACATGCTTAAGTGCTTTGCTGTATTGGAGTCTTGCATCTGTGCAAAATGAGTATAAAATGTTATCAAATCAGAATTCACCACCCATTTTGGTGTTAGCATTTTATACCCTCTTTATGTATATGTAAAAGACCATCCAAGGTGCAAGGCAATGGAGAATCAGGGTCTTTTAAAAAAATTTGGTGACTAGTACTTTAAAGTGTGAAACTTGCACACTTTAGAAATGGGTAAAATGGGTGCTATTCTCCTTTTAACTAGGTTTTCCTCCATGTACTTGTCTATAGCCTCTATCATTCAGAAAGATTCCTTTAAAAAGAACAGGAGTACTTGTGGCACCTTAGAGACTAACAAATTTATTAGAGCATAAGCTTTCGTGGGCTACAACCCACTTCTTCGGATGCATATAGAGTGAAACATATATTGAGGAGATATATATACATACATCTGTATGTGTGTATATATATCTCCTCAATATATGTTTCACTCTATATGCATCCGAAGAAGTGGGTTGTAGCCCACGAAAGCTTATGCTCTAATAAATTTGTTAGTCTCTAAGGTGCACAAGTACTCCTGTTTTTTTTGAGGATACAGATTAACACGGCTGCTACCCTGAAAAAAGATTCCTTTGTGGTAGGATCATCTTACTTCTTCTAAGAACTTAATATTTTCCCAATTAGAGAGAGATTTGCCACTGTGTATTTGATGCCACTTCATTTTCAGCCTGATCCTGCCTTCCCAGCAAAACTAAAACTACCAGTGAACTCAGGGAACAGCTTTTATTTTCCGAACAAAATCCAGGCAGAGCCCAGCCTTTCCACCCTACTTCTTGAAAGTACCTTTTACATCCTACATCAATAAATGCAGTTTCTGCCCAAGAGCCAAAGATTTCAGTAGCTATGTAGAAAGAGACAATAGGGTGAATTTGGCTTATTTGAATTTGGCTTAATTATGGCTTTAAGTTTTCCTCACTGTGAAAGAATTATCCAATGTTGAAAAGCATTTTATTACTTAGGTTCTCATTTTGTTTATCATTTATGTTTATTATTTACTAGGCGTGCTAAAATTAAAACATTTGGACTAAACTTCTCAACAAGAGAGCAAAAATTGTGACTTTTTAGTGGAAAGTTATCTTATGCATTTAACCTTTTGAAACCATTATACAACCTTTTCTTTTTCTTGTGTCATTTTAGTAGGCCGTGATATTTCAGACAAGAAACAAATATGTAATCAGAAACATAGAGGTACCAAATGTTGGTCATTTCATCAGTAGAATGGCTACTTTAGTTAAGCTTAACTTAATCATAACCACTCCTAAGAACAGACACTGCTTTTGTGCCTGTACCTATAGAGTGCACATCTATGGTCTGAGGATACAGTTAAAATCCAGTACTTTCCCTCAGCCACCATCTTCAGATTCTTATCATCCTGCAGTCTCTGCCATCTCTATCCATTATTCTATTTATCCCTGCTGCAATGAAATAGGCTCAGGAACAACTTTGAAATTATTGCATCCCTTAATCATCTCTCTTCTTAATCTGAAATAAGTAAAGCAACCTTGGTCCTAATTTTCTTATCATCTAAACAAAGGACAAATCTTTCCTCTTTTTCTTCCAGAGTTCTTCAAATAAGCTACATCTGTTACGAAACTATTATGACTGACCAGAGGACAGTCATTAAAAATACATGACACATTACAATACATCATTTATACTTAATATGTGCAGTAGAGTGATCACTTAAATATCTTACTTTGCCACATTTGCCCCATTTACCTACTGCAGTTACTTATCAAGTGTTTCCTCTTGGAACCACATTATGAAAGCAAAGCTTACTCTCTCTCCGTCACTTCACCCCACACCACTAATAAACCATTTGGCAGATGTTTCAGCATCCCCTTTTCTCTTTTTAGTTTAATCTTCACTTTCTGATTTCCCTCATTAAATCTCCTCTCAAGGCATTTCAAAATGTTGCTATGTATTTTTAAGCAAACTTTAACATCTGGTAGAATTACCACTGTGCTTTCTAGTGAAATGTTCAGAAGGTTTGGACACAAAACTTATTTATGACTGTGGGTATGAGGTCCTTCCAGTCTGCTTTGTATAATATTCTTCAAAGACTCGTTATTAAAAAAAACAGCAGTACAAAATTAGGACTTTATAATAAAATTATCTTTGATCTGGTTGACCACTGAAATGCTTCCGTAATTAAGGATTAATATTCATTATTGTGCAATGTACAAAGCATTCGGTAGCTCGCTCTTGAGCTTACTTATAAGCAGAGGTCAGTTTGATCTACTTCACTGTGGTATGCTATCCTGACACACTTGTCTAGAAGTCCTATATTTCTGCAGAGAGTTTCTAGTCCTTCTGTTCATAAAGAGAGCCCTCCAAATATGTCCTAGTGCAGCCCTTGTTTTCAGGCTGCATATAGACTGGTACAATGGTTTTAAGTAAAGTGTGAAAAGTGTAATTTGTCTTAGCGTTAAACTAGAAGCCATAAAGTAACCAGTGATACCTTCAGCAAAAAACATCCAAGTCTTGAAATTGAGCTGGAACTTGAAACTAGTACCATCACTTTGTGTCTCTATTTTTTGACCCTGGTTAAACACTTGAAAACTACAAAGACAGGTTGTTTTTGCAAACACCAAAACCATGAAAACTACTGCCATTTTATAATAGAAGTAAACACAAAAGGATTGCAGAAATAGTCCAATCAAAAGTTAATTTTCAAAGTTGAATGGCTATTCAAGAAAAATCTTTTCATCTTTCCCCAGCTGGTTGCGTCATTGTCTGACTAAGTGTTTGTACAGCAGCTAGCATAATGGAGCCCTGATCTTGACTGGGGCTTTTGGATACTAGCAACAGAACTATCAATACATAATAATAAGCAGCAGTAAACAGATTTGCTGTAACCTTGTAGGTCTCTCAGATTATAACTAATGGGATCATATGATACAGAGATAAAGGAACTACCATACTGGATCAGACTAGGGGTCCCTCTATTTCAGTTTTTTTTGTCTCTGTTAGACAGCTGCTTTAGGGATAGGTGCAAAAAACCCTGCAGTAGGCAAGTGTCACAAAATGATTGCTAACCATGTATCTTTCCATTACAAGTGCTAGTCTGAACAAATGTGTTCACAAAACAACAGATGGTCTTTGTGGTATAGAAATAACTGTTGGAGCCTGTAAATACAGTACACAAAGCCTGCCTTTCTTGTTTACACTGTACCAGTGCCTACTGGCCAGTAGAGATGGAACAGATCCCTGTCAAGTTATTTCCCCTGTCAGCCTTGATTTTTATAACCATATCACTTTCTGTTGTAAAAATCCCATAAAGACTTGTTATAGTATAGCATGTCTCCGTATAATTTAAAAGCAGAGCCCTTGCAGCTCTAGTAGGAAAGGAGCATGCAGCATGCCGCAGTGCAAAAATACAAATGTTGCTATCACAATGCAAGGAGAGTACGTAGCTGATAGTTCATTATTTGTCAAAGAGTCACATCATAAGGTATTGTCCTTCCATCCCATGGATGACATCCTTCCTCCGAGCTCTCCTAACTAAAGTGTGGACAGGTCAATCATTTATCAGTTAGGCCAGTAGCTTGTCCATAGACGTGGTCTGAAAAAGGAAGAATATGGAACGACTGTCCTATAACAGCAATATATTACAGTCCCCCTTCGGCCAAGCACCTAAGTACTTAAATCCAATTGACCACTAGGTGCTACCTCAATATTAATAGTAAGAAAATACCATGTGACTTAGATGACTCCTACAGCAGAAGCTGCTGCAATGTTTTGGGCCCTTCAGCAGCCTCCATGGGGATGTCATGGCATCACCCTTGCTACAAAGCGGTGGATCTATAAAGCCATGGTTATACCAACTCCATGGACAGCAGTGAAAAATGGGCACTGAGGAAGGGTGAAGAGCAGCAGATGGACATTTTTGATTCTCATCATCTTTGTCAGTTGCTCCATGTTAAGTGGCAAGACAGGATCAGCAAATGAGGATGTTCACGGCCAAGCCCAGCAATCACCTCCATCAGAACTGGTTTGGTTTCAGGGGCTTTCTTGGTACAGATGTATTAGAATGGAAGACCAACGAATTCCAAAGCTCATTTACCAAGGATGCTGCTGCATGGCTGGCAATCACGTGAGCACCAAAGCTTCAGTGGTGAGATAAGCTCGCCAGTGACTGACATAAACTGAATACCCATCCAGACCGCTTAAGGATCTAGCTAGAGATCAATCTGGGTGGTGCTTGATCTGCAAGGAGGCTGAGTCCCTTTGGGATTTGCCATGAAGATAATCAGAGGATCAGTCAGACAGTATGAATAACTCTAGCAAATAGCCAAACTGAGCCTCCCATACTCTGAAAATTATTCATCCAAATTAGCATGCATAAAATTCACCCCACGCACAGGGCCAGCACGGGGTTTATGCACTCCTTAAATTTCTATTAAAGCCATTTATGGTGAACTTAGGTGGTGCGTATAGACCATGCCCTAGTGCTCTGCACAGGGACAAATTTCACCCAAGTGAACACTTACAAATTACAAATACATGTGAAGGCAATCCAGATTGCTTAGAGAACCATTTACAAACCCCAAAGGGGTTACATTTCTCATGGAGAGTATCATGATAAATGGTGTGGCCAACTCCGTATATAATCTGTTCACCAAATATAAAATTATCTCTATTTGTCATGAGAGGCTGAAAAATAGTGACAAGAATTCAATTCAGCTATTTGCCTGACTAAAACAAATTGACGATTCCAGTTGTGAGACATAATTAATCAACTAGTAGGACTTCAAGAGTAGATATTTCTAGAAGGTAGAAATGGTAGAAGGTCAGCCCTGTTGGAAAAATACATTCTGTGTCTTGTTGCATGGATGATATTCCCCTCAAACGATGCTTTGTTAGAAAAGATTAAAGGCCCAGAGGCTGCAGGGTTTTTTTGTGTTCCGCCTTGGGGGGAAAAGTAGATTAAAACAATACTGTGATAGGTTGCATACGGCAGGTTGAGTGGTGTTGTATTGATTTTATTTCCACATTATCAAGATGAAAAGATATTAGCTTTGTCAGTTCTGCTTCTTTATCCCAGTCAGAATGAAGCAATTCATCTACTGACAGGCTTACAGAGAATTGTAAAGTCTCTACCCAAAATAGAGCAAGTCGTAGAAACTCAGCCACTGTGCATAAGCTGGGTTTACATGTGGCATGAAGGAAAGAATGGATAATACTCTTGGGGGAAAGTATTGTCAATCATACTGTACATACAGTGGTACAATGCACTATTTTTTGAGTGACTGTGACATAGTGTGTACTATTTTGATAAAAATATATATTCATGGTTAACCAAATTTCACTAGTGCAGTGGATATGTATTATAAAGCAGACAATTTATGGCTCCACACCACACATTCTGACCACTAATATTTATTGTTGTACACAGACAGCATATTTGGCAATGCACAGGAGACAGTGAATGGGTTTTAAAGTAAGGCACGTGCTTAAGCACTATGTTTTGAATCTGGGCCTAAATCCGTAGCAACTCCATTAAAGCTGATGCAGGTACATGAGCCTAAAACAAGGGTGAGAGGAGACCCATGCCCCATATGCTGTTTAACTTTAATTATTGCTTTTTGACTCTTTTGCTTGTTATGTTCTACTCAAACCTAACAAAGAAGCTACTCTGACCCAGAAGAAATTGTTTCATCATTTTAAAAAATAATCGGTTTAAGGAATACATTTTGCCAGTTATCAGCTCTGTTTTCAATTCTCAAGCTACATATTTGTTATAACCCTCTCGTCCATAAACTTACCTTCATGGATAATTCATTCCCATCAGGTAGGGGTTTTATTCCCTTAGACAGTCTTAAAATGATCTTTCTGGAAAAACAAAGAAAATGAAAATGAGTTGATGGTTAACATTTGGATTTTCAAAAGTGCTTCCGTGACTTAGGAGCTGGAGTCCTATTGAAAGTCAAAGGAACATCTGCTCCCATATCACTTAGGTGCTTTTGAAAATCCCACCTTTAGCTCCTGACTCAGCAAAGCAGAATTTAAATGCATGCTTGACTTTAGGCATATGCTTAAATCCATTCATGCTTAAGTGTTTTGCTGAGTCAGTGTTTTGCTGAGGATTTTCCCCAAGAAATGCTATTCTCATCAGAAGAGTATTTCTGGCATGTACCAGTGCTGAGAATCTTACGCGGAAATCTGTATTCCTAAGATCTCCAGTACTGAGTGGTAAAATCAGGAAGTTGAGATAATATTTGATTACGCATCCTGTGCTTTGGGTCCCAATTCTAACTGAATCTGGACTTCAGAACTTTTGGGATTCATCCATCTCTGCAGTAGAACATGTCAGAAAGACAAAAACCCATTCAAGTATATGTGATGTTGACTTACAACTAGAAAGGCTTCTGGGGACACTTGAGAGATCCAGATAACTGTAAGCTTTTCAGTGTTGTTTGTAGTAATAAGTAATAATGGTCATTTTTATATTGAAATGAGATGATTGATGCCTTTGACTAGTAATGAAAAATGAAGACTAGAAAATATGAAATCAATTACTTTTGCTACTGTTGTGTTAAATGTGATGCCATCAGAAAGGATGCTTTGCATTCATAATGCATCCAAGCTCTCCTCTCAGAAGAACCTCAATTATTTTAGCTGTATGTTCTACACCTTTGCTTTTCAAAAGCTAAAATTTTTGATTGCAGTAATAGTGCAATTTACTATAAACCTCTTCATTCTAGGCTATAATTCGTCAGCATCAATATGTATTAATTCTTTGAAGGTCATACATTTCAATAATACTTACAGCTTATGCATAGTGTACAAATTACTTTAATCAGAGATGTGTGAAGCAAGTGCATAGAGCACTGAATACAGTTTCATCTATTGTCTTTCTCTTTTCACTTTTCTATTTTTTAAATAAATGCATCAGGAACAATGAAATTGTTTTGTGTACTGTGGACTACAAAAAAGAGAGATACTGTCTCTGGAGACAACTATTGATTCATTCCCATAGTACAGTGATAATAATCAGAAGGCTAAAATCAAATAGTGGTGTCAACCTCCCATGAAAATATGGTTCTGTATGTGAGTCCTTCAGAGTTTTTGGAATGCAAACTGTATACAAGGCTCTGTATCATTCTGACATACAGTTCATTTGGCATATTCTAGCTTCTGCTCTGCAATTGATTTCTGAAGGGTTTAGAATACAGCCCAGGGAGCTGAATTTCTCTGCCATGCTTCACACTCACTGGAAGAACAGTAGAGAGTGACCTTGTTAGCTGACTTTTGAAAGAGGTCTGTCATGCTTTTAAGCGATGCTTAATAATAATTAAACTTACCTGAACTGTAATTAAAAAAATGTCACATCTCATTCACTTATTTCAATATCTTGTATCTAACTTGCTCTTGTGCAGTGTTAATGGCTGGAGGCACTTAATTTATAGCTTCTTTGATTTAAATAGGAAGGGGCTGTTGGCAGGGCGTTAGGGCCTTAGAATTTACTGCACTATTCCTTTAATCAACCAGACCTGGGACTTGTTAACTTTCCAGATAAGCTAAAAAGCTCATCTTTTTTTTTTCTCCCCCCATGTGAGGATTGGGTGAGATGCTGTTTTTGTGTGTGGTGAAGTTGTAGTCCCTAGGAGTGACTATGAAGATCATGACATAGTTATTTCATACCATTTTAACAACAAAGAAATGTCTGCACTGATTTTTGTACTAACCTTTAGATTAAAAATAACTAGGCTAGTGAATTTAATGTATCTTGATCCATGTTATCAAAGTAATTTCAATTTTTTTTAATTCTCACATATTGCTACCCTCAGATCTATTACTCAGATGCTGTTATGTTAAGTACTAGTGTGGCAGTATACAATTACTATGCAATCAACCAAAGCATGGCTGTGCTCCAACATTATGAATGTTGTACCTAATACCTTGTATTAAGGGCCAAATTCTGGCATTCTTTCAGCACATGACAATTGTGAGTCTGTGTTTTACCAGCCTTGGTCCCAAGTATGGTATTGTGGGCCAGCCTTGCCCCATGTACAATACCCCTGTGCAGATTACTCCTGATAGGAGCAGGTGGAAACCAAATAGAGTAGTGGTATATGGGCTTTGATCAATGGATGCATGTCTTAAAACGTGCAGACCTCCAGTCTGTCCCAGAATGTCCTTCTGCAGCTTCATTTGCAGAACAACTGTGGAAGGGCTGCATAACCACCCATTGGGTCCAACACTTTTCCCCTGTTGTGTTTTGTTTTGCAATGTCTGGATGTAGTAAGACCTACAGCATTAACATTTTAAATGCCTTCCACCACTTCCCCCAGGTTTCCCCCTTACGCCAGCTTTACACATATGCAATTTGCAGCCAGAATCTGGCTCATGGTGTTTCTGTGTTATCTTGTGAAACTTTCTGTCCTAACCGGCCCTAACCAGGAGTGTAGTGATCATGACAGCAATCAAATAGAAAACCATAGGAGGCATCGCTCTCAAAGGGAAAATCTTCTGGATTTAATTAGCAGCCCTGTATCAGAATTAGTTAAGATCAGGCTTTCTCAAACATGCTGAGGACTCAGTACTCCCCTACTTCTGATTAGATCCCCACTGTTCTCAACAGCATCTAGCATACTGAGCTAGAGAAACTCACAGCACTTTGCTATTAATCACTAACGTGGTCTGTAGCTCCACAAATCAAACTCTCTCTTAAGAGCACGAGGCTATTCACATGTACCCCTTAGTATTAGAAATCATCAGAGTGGCTATGTTATTCATTAACTGAACTAGTTTAAATTCAGTCACCATCATTTATGTAATGTCTTACATTGGCCACTGTACTTAAATCTTACTAAATCAGACCTATTTACTTCACTATGTTACATTGGTGGGTGAGGTAAGAGGATGATAGGAATACCCACACTGGATCAGACCACTAGGCGTTTCGGAGAAAGCTAGTATAGAAGTTCTGGATTTAAACCCTTTTCCTAGTTATCTAAACAACTCACAGGACCTCTCTTTTACACCTTCCTACATAATTGGTACCAACATATACCATGACCACAAGCTCCTCCCACTCCTTTAGATGTCTTGTGAGATCCACAACGTGATGTTTTGGGGATCACCCAGACCAGTAAAGGGTTCTGTCACCACCTGCCTTGTAACGTTGGGTGCCTTTATACTCTGCATCTTTGGTTCAGAGCTCTGACATGAGTAGTCTGCTCACAAATACAAGGTCTCACCCTGACTTCCACCAGCCTCATTATTCCTTGTAAGGGGACACCAACAGCTCTTCCAGTTCCAGGTCTCCCCAAATCCACCCCTCCAAGTTCTTAACTACCAGACACTCTGACTTTTCCCCTCTGATTCATCACCAGGAAGGCATGACACCAACCCTGCAGACATCAGCTGGCTTTGGCACATACACTTCATACCATTTGCACACCAGAGACCTATTTGGGCTAAATAAACAAAAAGGTTTGTTTAATAGAAAAAATCACAGATTCAAAGATGAAATAGCACTGAAAGCAAACATATACAAGTTACACAGAAAATAAACATAAAGATGCCACCCCATGCTTTATACTTTAAAATTAGATTAAAATCCCTTTTTTTAATACAAGTTTACCTATAGCTTTTGAACAGTTTCCCAGCTATAATAGAGGAGATGCAGGATTTTCAAAGACAGCACCTGCCAAATGACTCTTCCTTCCAAAGACCTTACTCAACATATATTTTTATACACAATAACGTATACAACTAGTTGATTCAGTTGCTTATTCTTTGGGGTACAGACCTGCTGTTCTCTGCTGAGGGTGTCTGGGCTCTCTGACTGTCACATACAACCTTCCTATGTTGCTGGAAAATCACCAAACAGTTGTACACAGACTCAGTGTTGGACTAATAGGGTAAAGGGCAACTCTGTCCAGGAAGGAGAATGTAATTAGAGAGAATTTGCATTGGCAAGTGTGTGAATGTAGTGGCCCTTGCTAGGTTGGGTACATAAATGCCCAGCTAAATCCCTGACCTAGGTCCTGCCCTATCACAAATTTTTATAGCGTCTATCGCATGGGAGTTGTATAGTGGCTACTCTAGAGATTGAGGCAGGGAGCCAGACAATGGCAGAAAACCTCCAATAACATTATGACGACGCTGTTATTAAACTCTAATATAGATATTTTCTGTCAAATCTTGGCTGATCTTAACATAAAATGAGAAATACAGCTGGGAGAGCTTTGCTGTTAAATCGATCAGCATCAAAGTGGGAAGAAGATGCATTTATTTTACTTTGACTTTATTCTCTCATTTTCCTAAGTGGTCAGTGCCCTATAATGGCAGAACCGTTGCTGAATTTTATTGAAGTCTTCAACACAGAACCAACATAATAGCAGCAGGATAGGCTGTGTTGTTTCCTGACTTGTGTGCAAATGATTGCTGCTCTCAGAATTTGGATAGCTGGTGATGCATACAGAAGTAAAAACATACCTTGATTTTCAAGACAACAAATGGAGCTTGCAGTAGAAAATTTGTTTGTCAGATAGACAAATCTGTCTGTTAGACAGCACTCCTTGTCAGATACAAAAATGTTTCTTAGACATGTAAGCAAAATGGTTTTTATATGAAATTCTCAGAGAGAAAATAAAATATAGAACCCTATAGGGTAATTCTTTCCAATCCCATTCTTTAATCAGAAATACTGGAAGGGCATGAAATATGTGTAACAAGAGAAGAAAAGGGGAAAAGTTGATCTCTTTGCATTTCAACCTGATTTAGAACCACTGTTCTGAATTTTCTGCATTTTACCAATATTTAATTCAAAAGAGCCCCCTTTTCTATCACATGGCCAAAGTGAATTACTATGTTGCCAACAGAGCTAGATGCAAAATACCTTCAGCAGTTATTCATTTTAAATTTTTAAGTCAATTCATTGTGGGCGTATTCCTTCCGGTTTTCTTTCCACTTCTGAACATTTCATTCTTACTGACACAGATGATTGTGGAATTTGAATTTTAAAGATCCATGCGCAAATATTCAGAGAAAGTGTATTTTAGGCTCCAATTCGCAAGCCCTTGTGCACATACTTAACTTTATACATCTGTGTAGTCCCAATGAAGTCAATGGGACTACTCACAGGAGTAAAGTTACACAAGTGTTTGCAGGATCTGGGTCTTAAATTTGTACATACACACATTCACCCCCAAAATGCTTACTTGTCCATTGGACCTAATCCTGAGCTAGTTGAAGTCAACGGAAAGACTTTAATAGACCTCCATTGATGATGAATCTAATAAGTACAGCTTGAAGGGCAAACACAAATAAAATAAGATCCTTGCAGAGAACTATTTATAAACAATTCATAGATAGAATTTTTTTAACTGTGTCATAACTTCAAATAAGAAATTCAAGGAAATCAAAAGTTGCTTGCAGATATTCCAGGAGCACAAAAAGAAGCAAAATGTATTTCATAAATTATTTGTTGTAAAGTATGTATTTGTTCATTGCAAATCCACAACATGAAGAATTATTCCCTTTGCTCCATTTTTATCCTTGGACATTAAAAATAGTTGCTGATTTAATTCCTTTTATTGATTTTAATTTTACTCCTAAGGGAGAGTTTTCAGTATTGACCTTTGATTTAAAAATAGCTTTGCAATTTCATTTTAAATTAAGCTTCTCTGAGGTATATTTTTCTGTTTAATGTAAGTAACTAACTTAGTTGTTTGTTTTTTAAAAGGATTTACACTAGTAGATGATATTTTTCCTGGGTCTTATATATCTTGGGATGAGGACATTTTCATTTATAAAAATAACTATCACTTTTACAAGGTTGTTCAGTGCATTGGGTTCTATGTACTGTAGCTTGAGTTAAATTACCTGCAATTACCTTTATTCATAGATCTCAAGAGGTCGTTTGACCTTGGACATGAAAGGGAATTGTTTCAAGGATTTTGAGCATGCAAATATTTGTCACAATTTATGGGACGCCAAAATAGTTGCAAGAAAATGTAAACAGAAAATTACATTCTAATACTAATTAGCTTCTAATAATTCTAAAGTATGCTATTCCTCTAATGAATAGGGGAATTACACCCGAAAGGTGTTACCATGGTAACCCATGTAAATTATGACCAAGCAAAAATTTACTGTTTGCATGCAAAAGTGAAAGCCAGTGAAAGCAAAATTGCAGAGGGAGAGTCCAACTACCAGAGTTTGAGTTCAATAACATATTTATACAATACACTATCTAGGTTTTTGGATATCCATGTACATAAAGCCAAAAGTTTGTCACTAAAACAGCTTTAGAAGCCAATCCTGCAAATGCTTATTACCAGGCACAGTGGTATTCCTACCCATAGAGTTTAAATGAGAACCTCAGTGGAGGGTCGCTCTGCTTTGCAGACTCCGTGCTTGGGATCAGAGTGTCTCTCTCCTTGCTTTGTGGGTGGAAAGCAGACACAGGTGACTAGGGTAGCACAGGATTATAGATGCTGGGTTATAGATGCTGTATTATCAACTCAAAAATGCCTTTAATGGGATTTTTCCTGAGTAAGGTTTAGACACACAGTTCTGTTTCATTAAAAACGTAGCGATTGTTGAATTTTCACTTACCATGCCTGTCTTAAGAAGTAAAATTGATTGACTGCTTATTATATAATGTTGTCTAAATACGACATCCTCTGAACTTACGTCATATGATCACAGAAGGGGGGGAATTTTCTTATTTGAGATAACTTACCAGGCTGAGAAATGCCATTAAACATGAAATTTGTTAGCTAGCTTTTCTCATTTAAATGATCCCCAATACACGCTGGACCAGGTGTGTCCACACATAGGGTGAAATGATTCAGTAAGAAAGATCACATCATCTAACGGCGAAATGTTGTGTCTATGCAGTGGGACCAGCACAAGTCCCTCCTCATCTGTCATAGGGCCTGTCTGGATCCTCTGCACACAAGGGTGCATTTCAACCAGTCTGAGCAATTTGCCTTGAAGTCAATGGGAGTTGTTCACTGCGGGCCTCAGGCAACCACAGTGCAGTTTGTGGTGTCTTTGGGGATTTTGGTTATGCTATGGAGTTTCTGTTTAACACAAAATACACTGTTTCAAGCACTCACTGCAATTGTCAGCACTGTAATAAAAGGTTGGCCACTTATCTCAAAGGTTCGCTATATGTTCCTTACAGATTCAAAGCACAATCTGAATTTCCTCACATACACATAGATATCATAGCGATGGATCATTCTTATATACCACCCTCCATCACAGGTTCAGAAAATACTTTCTGTCCTCACCATTGTACAGATGGGGAAATTGAGGTGCAGAGCTGCTAAGTGACTTGGCCAAGATCCCACAGCATGTCAGTATCAGGTATAGAATCCAGAGGTGAAACCCTGGCCCCAGGGAAAAATTTCCACTGACTTCAGTGGGCCAGGATTTCACCATAGATCTTTTTGACTTTCAACCCTGTTCTTGAACCAGGAGCCCTCTCTCTGCCACCTATATATTCTGAGGAAAGAGCTCAGTTTCCATTTCCAAATTTGAAATAAAGCAGCATAAAACTTCTTTACAAGGAAGCATGTGATTCCTTTATTGCCATTATCCAGTGAGCACTTAGTGTTTTCAAAAGCCCAGGCTAAGTGCTCATGGTTCCCAGGGATACAACCACAAACATAATATTATCCCTTAACTAGCATATTATTAAAAAAATAGTATTTTTAATAGCCATCAAACATATAACATACCTTGAGAAGATGTATGTCTGTGAAGTAAAAGACATTTTTTGTCCTGGATGATTAAACAGGCCATAAATCAAATACCTTACCCATACAGTAACAGCTATATAAGAGATGGCCAGCTGCTGAAATGTATTATCTCCCGTTCCCCAGCAGACTTTAAGTACAGTACAGAAGGCCTTCAGATTTGTCTTGATGTTTAAGCTCATGTTTTGTGCTGTAAACTAATGAGATAATTCCGCCACGTCAGTTCTGTTGAATAGAACTAATGAAAGCTACATCGCAATTAATCGGAGTTCAGTAGCCTTCCGCTTGTCTATGCAGCCCTGTCCATTCATTCTGTGATCTCCTCCCTCACTGCTAGACTATGCTAATTGATGTTCAGTTCCAGCACCTCCTCCTTGCTTAGCTTTACTATACATGTCCAATTATTATGTCTTTAGTTAGGATTCTTTCCTCCTTCAATCTGACAGAACAACCACATAGGGCAAAGCTGCATTGATTAAAAAATCTTTTTTTTAATTGTCTTGGATGTTTAATCGATGAAACAACATTCCACGTAACTGTAAAAAGGCAACTTACCCAACTGAGAGACTCTGCCGCTCAAGCTCCAGTGTAAGGAGTGAGGAGGGGGAAATCTTTTCTTTTTCTCTTTGTTTCCATTTGGATGAATTAAAATATTATGCACAAATTAAACAATTTAGTGATGATGAAAGGTACCAAAATGACAGCACTGGATCCTGAAGTCCTCTTGTCCACTGATCAGGTGCAGCATTACGCTGCTGCCTTTAAAACGCAGAAGTAAACGTGTCATCCTTCAGAGTAAATAAGTGGGAGAGGGAGAATTAATGGTTACAGGACAGGGCGGAATGTCCGGAGACCTAGGTTCCATTCCTGTTTCTGCTACAGCAAGTTTCTCAAACTGCCTCATCTTGGACCAGGAGAAATCCCCACAAGAGATGGAGCAGTGCTTTAGTCCAGTCTTTCTCCTGTCTGGTGACTGCGAACAAGGGTGCCAGGTGTGGTAGTGATTTGTGCGGTGAGGGTCCTGTACCACTTGGAATTGGACTGAGGTCACCAAACACGTTTCATGTAGGCCAGATGATCACCTCTTCAAGGAATGCATAATTTCATTAATTGAGGAAACTGTAGCCACCACCATC